CTTCTTCGCACAGTTTCAGTGGTCTTGGGTAAGAGACTCCCACAAATTGGGGAAGAGGCTTGATTTTTTTTTTCCCAGGGAGGCTTTGAGGTCATCCTTGAAGAGTTTTCTCTGCTTACTGTCAGAAGCTCGGAAGAGAGAACCCCTTTTTGTCAGCCTTGTGTCAGGAATATGGACAATGTGACCTACCTAAAACAGCTGATTGACTGTAAGCAGTGCCTTGGTATTGGGTATGTTGGCCCGAGAGAGGAAGGTAATATTCCAGTGCCTATCCTCCCAGCATCTTCACAGGATTTTGTGAATTTCTCAAGAGATTTGAGGTGTCTGCTATTCATTGTCCACATCTCTGACACATACAGAAGAGCTGGTAATACTGTTGCCCTGAAGCTTGGTATTGGGCTTGAGTTCTTTGACATTGAACACTCTGTTACTCACTTGGCAAAACACTTGGCCACTGGAGGCAATGTTGATTTTCACCAATTGTGTCTGCACCTTCATACTGTCCACTGACTCTCCAGAAATCTTGACAGTCAGGGTCAGAGTCACTGGACCCAAAACATTAACTTTACTTTCTTCCTGCCAAACCTGCTGAGTTTCTCCAGCAATTTCTGTTTTAGTCAGGGACAGTTTTGTTCAGGGGCAGCAGGCTGGTGGAAGACCTATATCTTTCATATTTGCAGATACTTGCAGAAAAGCCCAATTTAGCTTGACAAAATACTTTTTCACATAACATGAAATGAAAAAAGAAATTCATTTTTAGCAACTGTTTCTCAAATTTACATAGAAAATACTTAAAGCAAGCTTTTAAGGCAAAGCAGGTCAGCCATCTTTGACACAAAACCCAGAGTCATTTTCTAAGATCTCCTCAAAAAGGCTGAGATAAGACACAAAATAAAACTACAAATTTATATCTGACGGGTTTTTGTAAAATATTTGTTCATATATGCTGACTTTGTGTCTCGGTGAATTTAAACACTTCACATATATTGCTGTCTAAATGTGAACATTCTGAACATCTGTTTCTATGGGGATTTGAACACTGTTTTATTTCCAAGTAGAGTGTGTTGTTAGGTTTCTTTCTAGTTGGATGTACAAAACCAACATTATCTCTATGCATTCGTTACTGCTAGTTAGTTTTAGATGAATTGACTATTTTAATTTTCCTACACCACATAACATTATAACCATTATTATATTGTAAACCAGGATTGATTTTTACAATAAAGTGTTATTAAGCAAGCATTAAAAAGTTGCAGACTCACACTTAATGCATGACCCACAAATAATTAAATCTATTCTCAAATTCTTAAGTCAGGATATGATATTGGTTAACTCAAATGTTTCTGTTACAATATACATCTGTAAATTTATTTAATTGAGATAAATTCAGTAATCTGAAAACTCGCCAGGGAAGGACACTTACATTTGGGACCAAGTCTGTCAGTAGTGGTATTGACTATAATCCTATAATTATTTTAAATCTCTCTTACTTGAGTTTTAACCAAACAATAAGCTCATTTCTCTCGTCAGTGGTTAAAGATAGAATCATTAATAAATGTGTCTGGATTGAAAACAACAGCAGCTAAACTTGTTTTTTTTAAACCACATTTGCTATTCCCCATTCTTCCAAATAAAAAGGGTGAATGAGTCTACGTCAGAAGTTCCAGCAAATTTCTACTTATCACTCCCACAGGAGCGAAATACACTCCCGAAGAACTAGGCATCAATGCTGCTCCTGTAACAGCAGTGCACAGTCACCACATAAATTTCAGTAAAATATGTATAAGCTCTGGTGCTGTTGATAAAACCATTGGCAAATATGGACATGGGAGCAGGAATACACCACATCCTCCAGTTTCTCCTTCTTGATTTGCTAGTAACAACCTCAAAACGAAACCCTATCTGGTTCATCAAACACGATTTTCCTCTTGCCAATTCACATTGACTCCGTCCAGTTATTTTCCAAATATCCAGTAATTACATCCTTTATAATGGGTTCTAACATTTTCCCTTCTATTGACATCAAGTCTAATGTTCCCGGTTTAAATTCTCCTTCCTTTCTTAAACGGTGGCGTTACATTTGGCAAGCTTCCAATCACAGGCACTGTTGTGGAATTAATATAATTTTGAAAAATGATCACTGATGTATCCATAAATTTGGTGGCTATCTTTTTCCACACATCCTGGTGGAGATCATCAGGTCCTGGGGATTTACTAAGAACAGACATACATACTAGGAGCAGTGGTAGGTGATTTGGCCCTTCAAACCTGCTCTGTTATTCAGTAAGATCATGGTTAATCTACTTGTGTTCTGAATTCCACATTCCCATCTATCCCTGATAATCTTAGATTCTTGCTATGCCAGAGAATTAATCTATCCCCACCTCCACAGGAAGCATTCCAAGTTGCACAACCCCAAGAGAGTAATAAATTCCTTCCTGCCTATCCTAAAAGGGTGAACTCTAATTTTAAAAGCGTCATCTAGTTGTGCATTCACCCATGAGTAAGCACCTTTCCATGTCCACCTTGTCAAGACTATTTAGATTCGGGATCTTAACCAACTTTTTAATGTCCTGGCTTTTATGTTCGGTTCCTCTCCTAATAAAAGATACCAATTCATTAAAATTCTTAATCACTAGCTGTACCTTTGCTTTTAGAAAGAATCACTCATTGGACTTGGGTGTCACTGGCTGGACCAGCATTTATTGCCCATCCTGAGTTTTCTGTGAGAAGATGGTAGTGGTGAACTGTCTTCTTGAATAACTGCAGTCCACATACTGTTGGTATTTTTTGAAACTTCATGGTGATTGGTAGAAGTGAGTAGCTTGCTAGGACATTTCAGAGGGCAGTTGAGAGTCAACTACATTGCTGTGGGTCTGGATTCAAATATAGGTCAGACAAGTAAGGATAGCAGATTTCCTTCACTGAAGTACATTAATGAAACAGGTGGGTTTTTGCCCTGATAAAGCAGCAATCATGGCCACCATTGGGTTCTTAATTCCACATATTGTCTTGAATTCAAATTCACCGTCAGCCTTGGCAGGATTTGAACACGGTCTCTCAGAGCACTAGCGGAGTTTCTGGACTAATAGTTTCGCAACAGTGCCATTAGTCCATCACCAGGGAATACTAACTTTGCATGACTCATCCATTCGAAACCCTAGATCCCCCTCCATCTCGAAATTTTGTGGTGTCTGCCAAAGTGAACAACTTCACATTTTCCCACATTTTGGTCCATCTGCCAAATTCATGCCCATTTAACCTTAACCAATTTATATCATTCCTTGTTAAGTCATTTTTAAAACATACTTTACTATCAAACTTAGACAAGAGGAATAGGTCATGGTGGTTAAGTCACTGATATAAATGGTAAACTGTTGAGAGCCAACACCGCTCCCTGCAAGACTTCACACTCATCCTATCCTGCCAATCTGGAAAAGACCCATTTATACATGTACATAGTTTTCTCCTAGACACCAATCTTCTAGCTATGTTGTATCTCGCTCAACATGCCACGGGCTCGTACTTTGCACAACAACATTTCATGAAGAACTCTGTCAAATGCCTTTTGGAAATTTAAGTATAATACATGAATGGGATCTCCTTTATTTCTTTTAGAAATTCCAATAGACTGTCCTACATGACTTCCCTTTCACAGAACCATGATGATTCTTTCAGAATTCCACATTCCCATCTATCCCTGATAATCTTAGATTCTTGCTATGCCAGAGAATTAATCTATTCCCACCTCCACTGGAAGCATTCCAAGTTGCACAACCCCAAGAGAGTAATAAATTCCTTCCTGCCTATCCTAAAAGCCCCCGAGAGCAGTTATAAAATCCTTAATTCTAATGGATTACTTATCCAGAAGCTCAAGATAAAGCTCTGGAGATATGGCTCAAGACAGAAAGCAAAATTTTTCCCAGAATCCATACAGTGTACAAGATGGCCATTCAGCTCAACAAGTCCACACTGACCCTCTGAAGAGCATCCCACACAGACCCACTCCCCTACCCTTTCCCTGTAACCCTACATTTCTCACGGCTAACGTACCTATGCTATATACCCTTGAACATTATAGGTAATTTAGCATGGCCAAATCTTTAGACTGTGGGAGGAAACCAGAACACCCGGAGGAAACCCACGCAGACACAGGGAGAACGTGTAAACTCCACACAATTGCCTGAGGGTGGAATCAAACCCGGGTCCCTGGTGCTGAAGTAGCAGTGCTAACCACTGAGCCACCGAAAGGGAATGAAAAGCTGACCTAATGACAATCATGTAACCGTTGCCAATTTTTTGTGAAAACACATCTGGTTCACTAATGCCCTTTACAGAAGGAAATCTGCTGTTCTTAAAATAACTCTAGACCCACAGCAATGTGTCTGACTCACAGTGACCCTCAAATGTATGGGCAACCCACTCCCCGCTCAAGGGCAAATAGCAACAAGCAGCCTGTTGCCAACACCCAGATCCCACACAAAAACAAAGTTCCAAGATGCACTGTGTTCTTACTGGATGCCACAGCAGGCTCAATGGCTGTTGCTCCTACCTCTCATGGCCCGATGGCGAATCACAATTGTCTCAAGAGTAGATTCTTGACGGTAACCATCAAACACCGAATATAAACAGTACACGTACTTGAAGCTTAGACTGGTTGTACACAACTTTTCAGCTCAAGATTTCTACATTCACAATTCAACCATGCTGTTACTCTTCAGCCACAACACTGGACCACAAAATAAGCCTTGCAGATCTTGCCTAATCTTTCTCATCCTGGTACAATGTTACAACTATTAATTGCAGTTTCATTTGAGAAAACTTTATTGAACAGAAGCAATAAAAATGCAAGTTATCTTTGAAATTGCATGAAAATGGCTTTCAAATCTTGAAAATATAAAGATCACCTCTCTGTGCACACAGAGACCTATGTAGAACTCAATATACCCGATTATAACTGATTTTATTCTTCATCGAAAACAAACGAGGTGCAAAGAATATCCACGTTAAGCCACTGTCCCTTTATTGCGAGCTATTTCAGCAGAGGGTTTATACTTGGCTCTGATCAGCAGGTACAGTGATGGTTCAGCAACTTATACATATTGGAAAGCAGATTCACAAAGTCCTAGTTTAATCAGCCAGTTTTCTTCCCATCAGTTCTTCCTGCCAGTGCCACTGCTTGACAGAATAGTTGCTACTCGAATGAAGATATTTAATGTATCCATATAGATCCCCATACACCTAGAAAGAAGCACAAAGATTAACACTAGCACATCAAAGTGCTTCATGTTTAATCAAAAGTACAGATCACATTGTGTTTTAACTGGGGTCTAGGGATCTATCATTAGCTCAGTGTCAATCAATCAGGGAGAAGTCTCGAATAACTCTTGACCAATTTAAGACTGCATGTAGATCAGATGGAAGCCGAAACTGATCTTGGTTGTGCTATTGTCGATTAACACAGTCGCATGGTGTTTCATGTAAAGACTGCCACTTTGATCATGGGTAACTTCCTCTTGGCGGCACTCCTCCCGTACCTACTCGTGACATCCAATGTACTGAAAGACTGAATCTGCTGGGTCACATTATTGCAGGATCAATTTTACACGTATGCCCCCAATATACTTCTCCAGCACTTAGCACAGGACACCCTGCAATTTAACATTAGAAAGACGTTCTTCAGTCCTTACCAAAAACGTTCTTTCAGTATATGCCTGTACCATGTGTTTCCTATATTGATTCCTATATTGATTGCCAACCAAGAATCCATGATTTAGACAACCTGAAAGGCCTACTGTCTCCAGTATACAATTATCTGGTTCACTGATGTCCTTTAGGGAAGGAAACTGCCATGCTTACCTGCACTGGTCTACACGCAATGTGGTTGAGTATCAACTGCCTCTGGGCAACTAGAGATGGACAATAAATGCCCTCAACCCATGAATGAATATGGAAAAAAAATTTGGGTATGATTTAGATCATCTATTAGACTCAATTTGCACAGTAAAGATGCTTAAAAGAATGTAGGCTACAGACTGTGGAAATGTGCACATTGTTCAGAAGGACGCCATTTGTCACTATCTATTAACTTTACCAGCAAGCGGAGCATGTTACAGTCAAGGTGCACATACCACCCCACCAACCTCCACATCCAGTGCATCATCCTCCGCCACCTACAATCCGACCCCACCACTAAAGATATTTCCCTCCCCACCCTATTCGTACGGACTGCTCTCTCCGCAACTCCCTTGTCCGCTCCACACTCCCCACTAACCCCACCACCCCCGGCACCATTCTCTGCAACTGCACAAAGTGCTACACCTGCCCATACACCTCCATCCAAGGCCCAAGACAAACTTTCCAAATCCAAACCTGTACATCCTCCAACTTGGTCCACAGTATCCACTGCTCCCGATGTGGCCTCCTCTACAATCAGGGAGACCAAGCGTAGACTCCGTGACCAATTCGCGGAGCATCTGCGCTCATTATGCTAAAGCCACCACCACCTTCCAGTTGCTAACCATTTTAACTCCCACTGCCAGGGCAACATGCCCATCCTGGGGTCTCCTCCAGTTCCACAATGACGCCACAGGCAAACTGGAGGAAAAACATCTCATTCTACCTCGGGAGGCTACAGCCCGATGGCCTGAACAAATAATTCACCAGTTTCAAAATCTCCCCACCCACAGCCTCATCCCATGTCCAACCCTCCCTCTCATCCCTGCCTCTCTGACCTAACACAACTTGTCCATCTTCTTTCCCACCTATCCGTCCCAACGTTCCCACTGACCAATCCACTCTACCGACTACATGCATCCACCAATCACCATCCCACCTACCTTCCCCTAGCCCCACCCCTCCTTCATCTATTTATTCCCTAGCTTTCTTCCCCCTCCCCAGTCCTGATTAAGGGTCCCAACCCAAAATGACGACTTTCCTGCTCCTCTGAATCTGCCTGACCTGGTGTTCATCCAGCTCCACACTGTGTTCACCTTGATTGCGCTTTCAGCCAAATGGCATGGGTATGAAACTTAGCTTGACAGTATCTGATTCTGCAGCCAGGATTCATTACATTGACTGACTTCAGGCTCAGTCCTGGGCCAATGGCTGGCCTCATGTTCGGGTCAAACTATCAAACTGGAGTGGCCGACTTTAGCTCAATCAAGAGTCATGTGGAGGCAAGCTGCTCAACCACAAGGACCTGGGCTGTAAAGACCTCAAGAATACAGAAAAGACACTAAGAGATCTGGACCACTCATTTATAGAGGACAGTTACTGATTAATGGTAACTGCAGAAAGATGAAACGCTTTTTGGCAAAAATAGAGGACCTTTAAAGCAGCACTCAGAATCTACCTGAAACACTTGGAGTTGCTGACAAAATAGATTAAGATGCTTAGGGGCCAATCCAATGAATGGGAAGCAGTATTATAATTTGCATTCAGCCAGGAAGATGCCTTTGTAACTGTTAATGCTCCTTGTGAATTATAATCAAAATGGATTCTGGGTCTGTTGCTTCTAAACATCAACTTACTGGATTACTAAGTAATTGAAAGTGTTACTGGATCCTAAGGGCCGTGAAACTATCGGCCAGTGTAAAGTAACAGACATTTGAGAGTGAATTCAAGCACAAAGTAGTAAAAGGACAATGTTAATCAAGGGACCAAATATCCTGAAAAAACTATTTTTGAGAAAAGCTCTGATTGTCAACCGAGTCCAAGATATTGAATAGATATTGTGCAACATTTCCAGCTTTATAGTGCCCTTGGTGTATAACATCTCAAGCCATTACATCACAACAAAATCAAACAGATAGGAGTCCAAATCAAAAGTAATAGTACAAAAGGTGACAAAAAAAACTTGGTCAAAAACATTTTTAAGGTACGTCTTAATCAAGTGTCAGATGGTGAGGAGGGCAAGTATTATGAAGAAATTCTACTACTTGGAAGAGGGAGGTGATGCCCGATTCCTGTGAAAGGATTTTAAAAATGACTCCAGAGTTGGCAATTATAAAGATAGGGAAAGTTAAGTTAATTGAAGCACTTAAACATGAATAAGAATTTTAAAACCATGGCGATAAAGGGCCAGAGGTCAATGTAGGTGAATAAGCAATTGGGAAAGGGTGAATAGGGCTTGCTTTTATTTAGCAAATGGGAAGAGTTTGAAACGAGCTCACATTTTACAAATGTAACAGATGAAGGTCAGTAAAGCAGATTATGGAAGAGTCATAACAGAGCTAACAAAAACAAGGATGAAATTTCAGTAGGAAATAAACTTGAGGGGAGAGCCAAGAAATGCAACATTATATAGCTGAAAGTGGGCAATCTTTGGAGTGAAAAGGAACTGGATTAAATAGGATGCCAAGATTGAGAAGGCTCTGCTTGACAGATTTGGGGGGTGGGTGGAGTCAATGGTGGTGAAGATATGGAGTTTGCAGTAGGGATTTCAGTCTTGTGAAGGTGATTGTATTCTTCCCAACTTTAATTGCAAGTAATTTCAGTCTAATCCCATGACACCATTTTGAGCTGGAGAGTTGTTAAGGTGTCCTTGCCAACCATTATTCCTCATGTGGATCAGTTAGTTCAGTTGGCTGGATGGCTGGTTTGCGATGCACAGCATGGGTTCGATTCCCACACTGAGGTCACCAGTTCTCAACCTCTCCCCTCAGTTGAGGCATGGTAACCCTCAGGTTAAACTACCACCAGTTGTTACTCTTTAATGAGACAGTGGTAACTTTCAGTCCCTCAAACTTTAATCGCTAACACAGATGATATGGTCATTAATCACACTGCAGCTTTGAAACGTATTGCGCTTACCTACAATACTACCGCAAGTACACATCAAATGAACTTTATTAACGAAGGTGTTTTACAAAAACAAGAAAGGTACTGTACAATTGCAACATCCTTCCTTTATTCTTCTGCAAAAGAAAAACCAAGGAAAAAATCCAATACTTACGCATTAATGGGATCAAATTTCCGAACGCTGTATACTGGGTACATCTCCGCTCGTTTGATCACTTTTTGGGTATCATACAACAGGAACATGCCAAAAAGGACAAGGCCTCCATAGACAGCTACAGAATACAGACCAGCGCCAAATGCAGAGGTAGGGGGCAGGAACATGGAGCCTGAAAAAGCGCACGAATTTACCTATGAGTACATTCTCAAAAATAGATTAAAACCTCAAAGACGCACAGACTGACTTTCACCGAAGTCACTTACCTATAGAGGAAGCAAAAACCAATCCCAGACCAACAGCCAATGGCCCACCAATGTGCAGGAACTTTTCACTGGGGGCACACATAGCCACAGTGGAGAGACCACCAACAATCCCTACTGTGTACCAGGCAGCTCTCATTAGGATGGGGCCACCAAGAAGAACCATTGGAGCAACCACAGCTCCCATCACACCTGAATAGAAATAAAATCATAGATTAACAAATCTAGGTTTTCAAATGTCAAAAGTTGAAAGTTTATTAGGCTTAAATGCTAAAGTATTGAAATAAACAAAGTACGGCATCTGAATGTCAATATAATTTAGTTATGAAATTCCTATGTCTGGCACTTTAACAGATATTAACCAGTTAGGTTAAAATCAAAATGTTTAAACACAGTTCTCACCTGAATGCAGTAGCCAGGCCAAGTGCTTCGAATTCAGCCCTTCCTCATAGGGTATAGACCTCACCAAAACACTTGCTCCTATCATTGCTGCAAATGAGGCTCCTATTGCCTGTTAGCAGTTAGAAAAGGAAATCAAACTTCAGGAGACAGATGCAACACTTAAGCCATACAGCAGAACAAATCAATTACAGGAGCCAGATCGGAAACAGACAACAATCACTGTAAAAACCAAAAGAACTGCAGAGGCTGTAAATCAGGAACAAAAACAGAAGTTGCTGGAAAAGCTCAATAGGCCTGGCAGCATCTGAGAAGAAAAAAATCAAAGTTAACATTTCAGGTCCGGTGACCCTTCCTCAGTTCTGACTTTTTCTTCACAGATGCTGCCAGACCTGCTGAGTTTTTCCAACAATCATTGTAATTTTATCCTGAAATGCTAACTAGGATAATGCTATTGGTGAGCAGTTTGAGTCTAAGTCTTTCTCCAAGCTACTGATCAAATCAAAGTTTAGAAGTTTTTTTGAGCAGTACTGGATATAAGTTACTTTAACAATTAAACATTTCATAGTGAACTCATTAAAAACTGAAGATTACAAATATGCATCTGAAGCACAGGTGTACAGGTAGTTACCAACAAAGACAATACCTTCTAACAATCTAAATTTTAACAATCTACATTTATATTGCTCTGTTGCCAAACAAGTATTTAGATCAAATCATTATGATATATCAATGGAAGTGGTGATCTGCAGTGGATTTAAGTCAACAACAGCCCAGCATGAGAACTTGAAACAATGCCTCAAGACTCCCCACGTGGCAGAAGGCAAAGCACTGCAGTGGTTTATTTATCAGCTTTACTTAGGCTCCTTGACTCAAGGTACAAACTAGTTTAGCGCTGATGACATGCTTAATTTCTTGCAAGATATAACTTACTAAATTCGCTGGCAGTCATGTGCTAGATGTGCATACTCAGAGATGCAAGAAGTCTATGTGGCCAATCCTGAAGTTCCAGCACAAACCCTATCAGTATCATCAAGCAATATCACATACATGGATATTATAAACTTGGTAAACTCAGGACAGATGTGAATTATGACGTTCGGCTCTGGGAAGAGTTCACTTTGGTTGCAGGACTGGTTACACAGTCAGGGTAAAGTCTTGTCAACATGACAAAAAACAAAACTAGCAAAGTAATTCCAAACTAACCTGAATTGACTTGTCCAAGACAATCCTGGGAGATTTATTTATTCCTTATCAAACAATATTAAAAATTAGTTTGCAACAACCCCTTCCTGGAGGGAAGATTTTTAAAATAATCTTCAAGATGGTTCAATGAAATACCTTTGGAAGTGTTTATGCAAACATCAGCACATCATCATGGAGGCTTTACTAAGTGATGCGAGGTGGTGCCCATGACTATTCTTAATAACTTACCAGGAAGGAATTCTTCATCATAAGATTCATGATTGCTGGTGATCTGCTGATCGCTACAGCCGACAGTGCTGTGAGTCCTATTCCTCCTGAAAAATACATGTATGTGGAGCGGATCCGTTCTTTCACATACTGTGGCCAAACGCTGCGGGAATAGATTATCAGGTTAGTGGCATTTTATAAAGTCAGACATTAATTCCAAATATTTCTCCATTGCCAGCATGCTTTACTTCAAGCTAGATCAAATAGTGTAAGGAGGTCCCAAGTTTCAACACTGATCACTGAGCTGATCTTAGTTACAGTAGCAGTTAGGTACTAGAATTGACTTCAGCATCCCTAGTTGGTAAACAGGAAACTATCATTCATGGACCATAACTAATAGATATAACTTAAACTACATTTACAACTGATGCTAGAGATTTCAATCCTAAAAATTATTAGTTTTAGTACTCATCCCTACTGTGAACTTAGATCAACTTCCAATTACTTGCTTTTGATAGGAAACATACTGCTAATTTTACTTCAGTCTCCGATTCCGGATTCAGAAATTCTTTTTCTACTGTCAATTCTACTTTGTTTATCTTAAGTAGAGAGGTAATGTCATGTGAAATCACTTTCAAATGAAGCAGAGTTTAAAGTATCAAACTTTATTCCATTTCTTCCCTATTCAATTTCTGTTCCAGAGTTTGTTGACTACAGGATAATTCCCTTTTATTCATGAGCACTGAGGGCCAATATCCCACAAACATACACTGACTGGAGTCACAGATGAAGAATTTGTCTGGTTACTGGAGGACCACTACCACTTGTAAAGCAGCAGTCTAGTGAAAGCAAAAGGGAAGAAAATCAGGTGATTTTTTCTTTTCCTCTCCCCTCCACTGGGTATTTTCACCTGCCTCACCTGAACTGGCAAACTGGATGTTCAAGAGGGAGCCAATCCAGTCAGGCTAGAGGTAGTTAAAAGATATGCTCCAGAAAGAGAGGGTTTTCCCTGCTCTTCCTGCTCAAGTTAACCTGTGCAATTACCAGGTCTCCTGGTGGCTGATGAAACAATACAAGTCTGCCCTCTGTGACTGGTTACCCAGCCAGAGACAAATGAAGTCGCCATTCTAAAATAACCTAGTTTCTAGTAACTCAGAATACATGTCTGTCCTGTGCTCTTCCCAGCTCTAATGATTCTGGCAAAACAGCTGAACTTTCTCAGCTTTTACTTTTCTTCATTGTGGATAGCATCTTAAAATCAATAACCACTAAGTACAACAATAGGAACCTTGTTGCTAAGAAAGCAACTTTGATTTCCTGCCTCCAATTTTCCACAGCTCTTTGCACATGGTTTGTCAACTTTACTCAAGATACTCAAGAGAAATTTAGACAACCGGAAGAAACCATTACTTTACGTCCGTACGGTCCCAGAACTGGAAAAATTAATAACAATACCTCATGTATACATTTTCCACTTGATATTTATCCCAGAACTTTGATCCCAACTCACAGGGGAGGCGAGAGTGATGGCCCTTGACATCATGGCCACATGTGGAAGTGTGGCATCAAGGAGCCCTAAGCAAAAACCGGAATCAATAGGTATGGGGGGTGGGGGGGGCACAAACTCTCTGATTAGAGGGCTGTCTGGCACAGAGAGATATAATTATGGTTACTGGAGGTCAGTCATCTCAGCTCCAGGACATTACACCAGGAGATCCTCAGGATAATCTCCGATGCCCAACCATCTTCAGCTGCTTCATCAATGAATTTCCCTCTATCATTAGGTCGGAAATGGGGATGTTTGCCAATGATTGCACAATGTCAAGCAGTGTTTGCAACTCCTCAGATAATGAAGCAGTCCACGTTTAAGTTCAATAAGATCTGGACAACATCCAGATTTAGCTTGACAAGTGGCAAGTAACATTCGCGCCACACAAATGCCAAGCTACGAAAATCTCAATCACCCCCTGTCATTCAATGGTATTACCATCACTGAATCCCCCACTATCAACATTCTGTGGGTTACCATTGACCAGAAACTCAACTGGATTTGCCATATAAATACAATGGCTACAAGAGAAGGTCATAGGCTAGCAATACTGCAGTGAATAATTCACCTCCTAACTCCCTGAAACCTGCCCACCAGCTACAAAGCACAAGTTAGGACTTTGACAGAATACACCCCACTTGCCTGGATGGGTGAAGCTCCAGCAACACTCCAAACTTGACACTATCCAGAACAAAGCAGCCTGCTTGATTGGCACCACATCCACTCCCTCCACGAAAACTCGGTTGCAGTGTCTTATCATCTATAAGATGCACTGCAGAAATTCCGTGACCGCTACCATCTTGAAGGAAAGGCCAGCAGATACTTGGAAACACCATTAACTGCAAGTTCCTCTCCAAGCCACTAACCATCTTGGCTTGGAAACACATCACTGCTCCTTCACTCTCGTGAGGTTCAAATCCTGGAATTCCCTTCCCAAAGGCATTATAAGTCTACCTACACCACATGGAATGCAGCTATTCAAGAAGGTAGCTCACCACCCCCTTCAAGGGTAACTAGGGATAGGAAATAAATGGTGGCTGGTCAGCCAGTGTCACCCAAAAAGCTCAAATTTGCTGCTAAAATTCTTTGGCAATTCAGTGCAAACACTCATGACTTTTAAACAAAGTAGTTAAATTTAAATTGCAATCTTTGCCATTTGGTGAAAACAGAATGCTAAATATCAACTCTGAACATTACATGTAGGTAAACATTCCAATGATCTGTAGTGAATATTCTTGAAAGGTCATTCTAAATTTGTATCAAATTGCTCTGTCATTCCATACAAATGCTCACAGTTACATACTTACACAGCTTTCTCAATGGCTCCAATCTCGTTGGACATTCCCAGTCCATAGTAACAAAGTGCCCCAAGACCTACAGCTGCTCCTCCAGCCACAAGCAATCTTCCTGCGGAGTCGACTGAAACACAACAGTTCAGATTTGTCAGAATATTCTGCATTGAATGTTAGTAGAATCAAAAGGTCTAGTAAGCACACCAGGCAACACAGTGTGCTAGTTAAGTCTTTCACACACATTAAATGTAGATTTGAGACAATCCCTGATAACTAGGCTGCTTGGCTCCTATGGATACTAATCCACAGACTACAACTCATAATACAGATTTAATGAGCCAGTTTACTCAAGGGTCACCAAGATATTATTGATGTCAGATTCGCTAAAACATGAGTGAAACAGCATTCAGAAAGCTTTATGAAGCATCCAACCAGATAGCACTTCATACTGAACAGAAGATACAGCTTTCTTTAATCCATCCTCCACTTCACAGTAATGTTCTGAATGATGGCACATACCTAACATTGAAAAACATAAATTTCCAAGACATCTCAACGGGTGACAAAACTAGAATGAGGTGGTGAATTAGGAAGACCGATGACCTGCTGAAGTCTGATTTTATAAAACTATTGACTGCAAAGTGACATCTGAACAAAGTAAGAATCTCACCTTTTGAGAAAGATGCCAGTGAAATAGATAAGATTACTTTTAAGTGAGGATAAACAGAGGAGAAAGGGTGGAGGAATGAACTGGCAACATAGAAAGTGGAGGAGAAAGCTGAAGAGCAGAAATGATTACAGCAGTGCAGAACAAGTAGAGAGCAGATTACAATGGATACAGAGATCATAGTGAGAGGATTATTTAACTGCTGACAAGCTTTGTTCTTGTAAGTAGTTTGAATCAACCAGTTCAGACATTTTATGAATTGAATCATTTGTCGAGTGTATTCAATATAAAACACAGTGAAAAATGTATACCATCACTGTACATAGGTGCCATTCACATTAACAGAATTTTTAAAAAAAATTGAGAGAGAGAGTCCAACTTTTCCTTCCCTGCTGTTACAGTCCCACTTCATGCTACACGAGCCCAGACCTTGCCACCGCCAGGGGCCCATTGCACAGAAGTAAAAGTCTTGCTCCAAGCTTCACAGGCTGACCCACCGGCTCTGTAGCCACGCTGCCTCTGCTCCAGAGCCCATTAAAGTTGCTTTTTGACAGAAGAGCTCTCTTTTATCAGGTAAGCCTACTCCTCCGCTGACATCTTGACTTATGACATACCTACGGGACAAGTGGAACTTGAACTTGGATCTTTTGGCCTAGAGACAGGGATGCCACCACTCTGCCACAAGAGAACAATGTTAATGTCAGAACTTACAGGATAACAAAGAAAGAAAACAGGAGGAGAAGTAGGCCATTTGAACCTTTGAGCCTGCTCCAACATTCAATATGATCATGGTTGATCATCCACCTCACTATTCTATCCTATTAGTGAAGACAGACAATAGCACCTTCTCCACAATAATCCTTAACAGTGGCACCTCACAAGGATGCGTACACAACCCCTTACTGGACTCCCTGTACACTCATGACTGCGTGGCCAAATTTCATCCAAATGCAATCGACAAGTTTGCTGATGACACCATGTTGTAGGCTGGATAACAAAACAATGAGGAGTCAGAATACAGGAAGGAGATAGGATGCTTGGTGTCTTTGTGCAAAGATAAGAATGCCTCCCTCAAGGTCAGCAAAACTGACTTCAGGAAGAAGTGAGGAGGACATGCCTCTATTTATATCAGCATCAAGTTCCTGGGAGTGACGATAAACAATCTGTCCTGGGCCACCCATGTAGATAAGATGGTCAAGAATGCCCAGCAACGCCTCTTCTTCCCCTGGAGGCTTAGGGAAATTTGGCATGTCCATAAAGACCTTCACCAACTTTTACAGATGCACCACAGAAAGCATTTTATTTGGGTGCATCAAAGCTTGATATGGCAACTACTCTGCACAGGACTGTTAAGAAACTGTAAAAATTGTGAACACAGTCCAGACCATCACACAAGCCAACCTCCCATCCATCGACTATATCTACACTTCACACTGCCTTGGAAAAGCAGCCAAAGACCCCTCCCACCCCTTATAATACCTTCTGACCTCTTCTGTCAGACAGAAGAGACAGAAGCTTAAACACATACCAACAGACTCAAGAATAGCTTCTTCCCCGTTGTTATTACACTGAATGGACCTCTGAAATTTCGTATCTAATGTTGATCTTGCTTTTGTTTACCTCCCGTGCAGCTCTAATTTTGTCTGTCTCTGTTCAACCACCCCATGATCTATATGTCATTATATGTTATGATCTGCCTGTACTGCATGCAAAAAGAACTTTTCACTGTACTTAGGTCCATGACAATAAATCACATCAAACCAAATCACGCTTTCTCCCTGAACTCTGATCACTTTAGCCCTAAAAACTATATCTAATTCCTTAAAAACATTCAATGGTTTGGCCTCGTTTGCTTTCTGTGGCACAGATTTCCACAGGCTCACCACTTGCTGGATGAAGAAATTTCTACTTATCACAGCCTTAAAAGGCCTATGTCATATCCTGAGACTGTGACTCCGACTCCTGGTTCTAGACTCCCTGAGCTTTGTGAACATCCTTTCTGCATTTACCACTGCCTGTTAGAATTTTATATGTTTCTATGAGATTCTCCCTCATTTTCTTCTAAACTCCAGCGAATGTAGTTCAACAGATCCAATGCATCTTCATGTATCAGTCTGGTCATCCCAGAAAGCAGTGTGATGTACTCCAATGGCCAGAACATCTGCCTCATAAGGAGAACAAAACTGCACATAATACTCTGGGCATGGTCTTACCAATTCCCTGTACAATTGCAGCAAGATATATCTGCTCCTGTGCTTGAATCCTCTCGCTGTGAAGGCCAACATACCACTTACCTTCTTCACAGCCTTCTGCACCTGCCTGCTCCTTCTCAGTGACAGGTATATGAGGACACCGAGGTCTCGTTGCACCACCCCCTCTCCCAATCTATTGCCGCTCATATTTAATTCCGGTTTTCTCCCTTCCTACATTTTAAAAAAATAGTGGGGTTACATTAGCAACCACCTAATCCATTGTAACTATTTCAATTTCTAAAATACCTTGAAAGGTAACCATCAATGCATCCACTATTCCTGGGGGCACTTCCTGAAGTTCTCTGGAATGGAGATTATCCTGGGTATTTATTGGTCTTTAATCTCAATTATTTCCTGAAAACTATTTTTCTACTCATACCAATTTTCTTCAGCTCCTCCGTCCGACTAGACCATTTTTGGGACGTTACTTGTGCATGGATGAACTGTATGAATCGTTCATTCCTGTCTGTCACAAAA